GTGCGTGCGTGCGTGCGTGTGTGTGTGCGACGCGCGTGTGTGTGTGCGTTTGTGTGTAGTGTGTAGCGTGCGTGTGTGTGTGTGTGGTGTGCGTGCGTGCGTGCGTGTGTGCGTGTGTGCGTGCGTCTGTGTGTGTGTGTGTGTGTGTGTCTCACGCAAAGGTGAGAAGAGACGCGTTTTATATTTCAATACGCCGGATATTGTTATACGTGAGACCATGCATAGATTGAAGTACGATTCTCTACTTACGGAAGTGAGATAGCCAGACTGAGATGCCTGGTCAATACCCAGCAATAGTCTCACAAACGTGATCAAGTAGTCCTTTACGAACGCCTGAATTAGTAAAAAAAAATCTTTAAAAACCCAACTAGTGTGTACATGTAGTAAAATACGTTGTAATATTCCCATTTGCGGTACGTATGTCTTCAGCCGACTGAGCTGTATATAATAACAGTTCTTATATACAGCTCAGTGCCTCAGCCAAACAGGCTGAAGAGCCTAGCCTCTAGAAGTGCTCTCTAGCGGCAGGGGCGTTGCAGCAGGCATACCGATATACTATCAAATATAATAACGAGTCTAGTAATATAAGTAGCCTCAGAATGATCACGATAAATAATAGAACGAAATGATCCCGTCGACTTAATGCTATCAACCTATACATGCAGTTTATTTCCTGAGCCATTTTAGAAATTGCGTTCACTCGCCTGTTGAGTCACGAAACTTTGCATTTCCCCCCAGGGGCGGATTCAGACCGTATTTGCCGTATTGGGAAATATGGTCTAGGTTTCAAAGTGCCCTTCGAAATTTTGCGCTAAAAAATACAGAAAACAATTTGATGGAATTTGGCTATATTCTTTATTTGTTTTCTTTTTCTTCTGATTCATTGACAGGACTTGAAGGAAATCAAAATTTTACATGGTAACAAAACTAGCTTTGATATCTGAAAAAGAAGGGAAGTGCCTGAATCATTCTGCATTAATTGCTGATATGCAAAGCGCAGGCAAAATGAAGCAGAAATAAAATTGTATATGGTTTTTAGCTATTAATTGCTGCTTGACTAAATGTGTGCTCAAATGGTGCTCATTTTTGTGCCCAGGGACTCTTGAAAATTTGAAATTTTCTGGGGGAGGCCCCCCACACCCCCGCCATGTGCTTCCGCGCCCAACGGCGCCCACTGTGGGGTGGTGTGCCCTTTTTGGAGGATGTGCCCTTAATATCTGGAAAAATACTGTCTAGCTTCAGCCCTGAATCCGCCCCTGCCCCCAGTCAATAAACTCAGGCTACAGCCCTGAGGGGTAATAGCATTAGCTGAAAGCAATATCAGTCGTGGTGAAAGTGTCACTTTACGCACGGTAACATTCACGTTTGGATTTATATACAATCGCAACAATATATAACAAACATTGAGCGACAAGTAACTCCGCGTGATCATGAATAGAAAGCGGGAATTTGTACCTGATACAGCAGAGTGTCTAGCATACTGGCACTGAATACATTCCCAGCAGCAAACGGTCGCCGGAACATGTAGTAGATGTGTGAGCCTCGCTCCTTTTCTTTCTGTAATAATAATAATAATAATAATAATAAAAATATAATCATCATCATCATCATCATCACCATCATCATCATCATCATCATCATCATCATCATCATCATCATCATCATCATCATCATCATCATCATCATCATTATCATCGTCATCCTTAAAAGCAATACTATTTTCCCCCACACATTTCCTTGACAGCGAATTTGTATAAAATCGGGGTTTAATTTATTGCAAAAGCAAACGCAGTTTTTCCTTATTCCTTACACCGAATCGGGACCGGGCGAGTATGCTTATATTCCATCAGAAGGAAATTCCCCCAAAGTAAGAGACTTCATTTACTGAAAGCATACATGCATGGCTTCCTTACTATAGTAGCAATCATATACTCCCTCTACTGTCATTCTCAGACAAAATTCCACCAATGCCTTCACTATACGTAGCACTGAAAGCTCACATAATATATAGTTATATACATATATATATATATAGTTACACGCATAAACATAGTAATATATAGTTTTTTTTACATAATGTTTCGTACCTTCTCGAGCCTCGACAGCTGAAAGCCGTAGTTATCCTTGGCGCGGAACTGCATGAATCGCATGTTGGACGCCTGAGATAACTCCGTGATGATGTTTGCACTGGGAAACATTCTGGTATACAAAATAACAAAGCGTATATATATATGTGTGTGTGTGTTTGTGTGTTACACACACACACACACACACACACACACAGTG